GGCCTCAATTGTCTACCTTTATCTCTGCTAGTTAACTGGGTATAATGATCATAGTAGGACTTATCCGATCAATACAGCTATATCTTTATAGAAATCGAGTAACAATTGGTCCCCAACTAAAACCACTAGTAGAACACAATTTTTAATTATAGGTTAAATAAATGAAAAAAGTTACTTTACACGGACAGCTTTTAAACTAACTTATTACTAATTATTAGTAGATATAGTTGGTGTACATTCCGCACAATCTTGGTGCAGCATGCAAATAGATAAAGACTGAAAATCAGCAATGCTGAATCTTTAACCTTTTTGTCCACATCACTCAATTGTGTTTTCTATTAATTTTAATTAAAGTGATTCCTATGTTTTGTGAAGACATGAATGTCTGTTTTTGCATCCATAGAAAATAATGCATACAAGAAAATAAATTTAATAACTAGTATTTTCTGATCTTATTATTCAAATAATAAGGCTAAAATTACGAATCTCCATTATCGTAAATGCCAATACTTTTCGAGTTTAAAATACAAAAAGTATTATTAGTCTTGCTAAAATTGTGATCATATTTCCTACCATGCCATATCAATAGATAAGAAATCTGATCTACAGAAAACAACACGTCAACCGGTAGAGCTGTCTTCATAACTTTACCTCGCGATGTATCATACAGGTAAACTTTCTACTACCGACACAAAATAAAAGAAGTTCTGTTAAAAATAGATAGTATACTTAGAATAGATAGTGTGGTACAAATTTCACCAGTGATGAATTAATTTGTCAGAACAACGACAGAGATGGAACGTTCAACGATCTTAAACTTCGTTACTTATAATAACAATACACATATATATTTACTACGTTGTAGTAATGTTATCGATTACTGAAATATACCTTAAAAACGTATGAGTTTGTTAATTGATATCGAAATTAAGTTTTAACATGTTTTAAACTATTATTTTCGGTTCTAATTTGTTGTTTATTTGTTAATTGACTTTTGTGCAGATTCTTATAAAACTATTTATTTCAAATTTTAGTTTTAGTGATTTGCACAGGAAAGTAAAAAAAGCAGAAACACGTTAACGATAAAGATATAAATAAAGAAATAACAGGGGCCCATGCTTAGACATTTTCTAAAACATCTATACAAAAGACCAATTCACATTTTACTTTTTACATTGTAGGGACCCTTTCACAACAACACTATACAAAATTCAAGTAAATAATGACATGGCCTACTCAACAGCGTAGTTTCTGTAAGAAGCGACATAAAAAAGTAAAGAAATTTCTGTCGTCAATGCTACGTAACTAATAAAAGTTTGTATTGAATAGATCACTCTATTCTTGTCTATATTATATTACGCGCACGCAACTAGAATGAGGAATTCGTATGATCACTAACTGGAAAATCAATCATACTTGCTTTTTTAATGCTATACGAAATAGCATGATACAAAAAAATTTAAGGTCACTTAAAAAAATACAATTAGTTAGCTAGCAGGAACTTTGGAATGTAGGTTTATAATTCGTAGGTACGATATTATAGTTAGTGAGATCAATATAGAGGTCTAGTATTTTTATTTCTGACTGCAAAATTTTATTTATATTTTAATTAGACAGGTCTGCAAAAAAATTATTTATAAAATATAGATTTTAAGGCATTCGTTGTTACTCACTAAATGATTGTTACTAATTACGGGATTCCTTCCACGGTATGAGTTCTTTTTATGTTCCCGATATTTCGGAACGGTTACACGCTCCATCGTCACGGGTTGAATGTCAGTTCACAGATCCGAAATGTTGAGTCAAATAAAAAGAACTCATACCGTGGTAAAAAACTTGCAATTAGTGATAATCACTATTTACAAAAAATGATTTAATTTTATTAACATATCTTTATGTAGATTTGTGGTACTGATTTCAAAAATGATAATTTTTTATCACTTAAGTTTGTCTGGAAAATAAGGGAAGACTTAAAAGAAAAATGAACAAAAGCACAATACACGTTTGTTTTAAGTTTACTACATAAATAATAATTGTAATAATGGTCATGAGTCCCTGTGGTAACGTTTACGCTTTTCATTAATCAAATCTATTGTGGTACTTTTCCTGTTGTGCATAGATCCACAATACAACAAAAGAAAGGCTGATTCATGTTGCCATCCTAAACTTACGTTTTTTACGTTGTTAATTTAGCTTATGAGGAAAAAAAATAAAAAAACAATAATTTCATATTATATTAATTTTAAATATTAAATAAAATAGTTTCTACATGAGAAAAGCTTTAACAGTGCGAAGTAAATGATTTTTTAATTTTTTTTTTCGTAATCAGCACAAAAAATACTACACATCACTGATAAAAGATGATACAATTTTTTCGTCACAAACCTGTATTATTTGAATGTCTATGTTAATCTATGTGAAATACGTTATTATATAGTAACATTATGAGTAAGTCAGAAAATATAACTTCTTATATTGTATAATAGGTATATACGTAAATCAACGGTAGTTACTACTTTTAACAATAATAATAACAAGTATTTATTTCGGAATCTTGTTCATAGTGTTAGTAACAAATTCTCTTAGAACTAACTATATCCTGGTGTGGAGCTGCACCCAATGCTATAACATTGGGGAGTCCCACCGGTCTATGAAAACACTCAGGAGTCTTGGTACTACCGCGGAGGCGTGCTAGTATGGAGGCGCAACGTCTTCTCATTATAGCATAGAAGTCATCCGCGTGCGCCTCCGCAAACATCTCCGAAGCTCTGCAACGCCACGACAGCCCCAACAGAACCCTGAAAACGTTATTATATAGGACCCGCAGGTAACTGTATGCACTCGCTACAAAATCGACCCAGAGGCTGCAGGTGTACAATGATTGGCAGTATGCTTTAAGTTTTATTACAATAAGATTTATTCTTTTCCCGATTTTCTTAGCTATTTCATATTCAATTGTACCTATAATTAGTGATAATAGTTTAGTGACCATACACAAAAATCTTGAAATAATTACGTAAACTAATTACAATTTCATTAAAGAAGTTAAATCAACTGATCTTTTAGAGATAAAAAATAATTAAAAGTTTACAACGTGTTTGATATAATAATTCAGACTAGGAAACATTGTTTGGTAAAAACAGTACAGTTTAATAACATAACAGGATTTAAAAGCAAAAACGAATCAGGATATCCAGTAATACGAATGACAATAGGAGGTAAGTTTCAAAGTCATGAGTAGTCACAAAAAGCACCGGGCGGCATTGCCATCGTGTCCGGTCTGCGCTCGCGTTTATAGTATGTAGTCATACATTTTACCTTATTTTATGCTGTTTTTCTTTATATTGCTCTATATAGTATGTTTGGTTTAATGATGTCGAGTGTTTAAAAAAAAAATGATTACCATATATCACCATACCATAAAAACACTTATTTTAGATTGAAAAATTACTATTAACTTATGTCACACACGTAATAAGAACGGAATAAGAGAAAATAGAAAGTGCCCATCTCCTGCATATCTCATCCATAAAAATCTTTGTAATAAAATTAATAATGATTAGATAAAAAAACTTGATTCTTATCCGCTACAAGAGCCTATGCAAATATTGTGTTTGCGCTGTAGATATATCCTGTCGAGAGACTAGAGAAGAATGTCAACATCCAAGTGAATTAGCACACAATTTTTATCATTTTCGGTATCAGCTTTTAAAGTTAATATAATTGACACGAAATTTAAATATGTAAAAGCATAATGCCCACGCGCACTACGTTGATGTCTTTTGTACGTTGCATGCGATGCCGTTAATGTTTGTTGAGAAATGCAAAATGGAAGGTACACTAATTTTAGTTTCACAAATAAGTATTATTTATTTATGTTCATATATGATTATTATCATATTTGAGTTATTTTTTCATTTCTTGTTCTTGAATAAAACCGTGCGTTTAATTGGACGTAAAATATGCAAGTATGTTAATCACCTTAGTTCTACATTCGAAACTATCCACTCGTTTAGTGAAATAATACCTGGAAATACGCATAAGTCGAAGGTAGTTCCGCGTACTCAATGTCCGGCAAACCTTCGACATTTCCGAACCAAACAGTTGGAATAGCAACTCCCCCTCAACATGTGTTGGAAGGAAGGCGGGGCGGGCGGCGCCGTCGCAGCGTGCGAACAACCGTCGCGAGGTCGCTGTCTTTTTACTCGCATTACCTCCTGACATTCGAACTTAATGGACTTGCCTTATTGAAATTTAACCAGAACAACTACCGACAATATAATGGTACGAAATTAGGTTATCGTTACAACAAAACCAAGTCGAGTGGCCATCTTTAAGCTCTCTGCGGCCCAATAAGAATCCGAAACATTTAGCATCAGTCGTGAGCTATGTGCTCGGACAGACAGTCGTCTCGCTCTGGGCGCTTGCGTGCGTTGCTTGTCAGAAAAGAATAGATATAGGACTGAGCTCCTTCCGCCAAATAGTCATTGTTCTTGGTCGCAATGGAACAAAATAAAGACAGAGCAGCGGTATTCGTGACTGCGAGACAAAACTCTTAAGATAGTGGCGTGCGAGAGGGACACATTATAAGGTTTAAGAGCTATTACGCACTGTCGACTTGTCGCCGGCGACTCGGTCGCTCGGCGACCAAGACATAGGCAATTAGGCCCAAGAGACCAAGCCGAGCGACAGTATTCCAAGTACATTCGTGCAGAATGGACGTCGAAGAAGCTGCTATAGTAGCGCTACTAATCAAGAGAAGGAAAAATAAAAGAAAATCAAGAGAGTATTGGGTACATCCTTTGTTACAAGAACGAAGATCAAAAGGAATGTTTAAACTATTTTATGAAGACGTGAGAAAATACCCTCGTAAATTTTTCAACTACGCAAGAATGTCTGTGCGTTCGTTTGATGAGCTATTGTGTCTTCTGAAACCACATATAACTGGCACAGATACAAATATGCGACCATGTGTTTCTCCGGAAGAAAAATTATGTATAACTCTAAGGTAAGTGTAAACTTCATTATTTTAAAACCAGAGCGTTTAAGTAACAGTGCTTGCTCGAGTTGCAGTGGCACTACCGTGCCTATGTCAGTGTCACTGTCATTTCACTGTCATGAGTCAGCTAGTTAAAAATAAATTGTAAATTTTGTAACATTGATGCTGTAATTTCAGTAATAATAAAATAAATAAAATAAAATAATTTGACATCATGTATTTATTGTTTAACTGAATCAATACTATATAAACTAATTTTAAATTCAAAGCACAAAAAAATAAAATAAAGATTCAAAATAAGTCCAAATAATCAGAATCTTGCGAGGCACTTGAAGTGGCAGTAGAAACTTGCGACTCTGGGCGTTCTTGCGGTGAAGGAACTGAAGTTGGTAGAGTATAGTAATTCTGTTGTGTTGGTGCTTCAGAGCGTAACCGTGCTGTTTGACTTCGTGCTGTAGCTGTAGAAGACCCGGCCTCTGGTGTGAAATAGCCACGCTCATACTCGAACTCGTTATAATTACGCCAAACGGAGTTTGGATATACGTTATTTGGCGTACTGGTTCCGAATGAATCGATCATTGTGATTAATTGAATTTTCGCTGCTGGTTTTTTGTGTTCGGGAATTTTCCTAAAAGACGATAAAAGGGACAGCAGGAACATTCTGTCCTCATCTCGTTCCAAAATGTCCGCGTTATTTTTACGAGTATCAATACATTTGTTCAATGTTTCCAATAATTCCCTTGTGCCATCATCTGAAGGTTTTTTCTTCTTTCTTCCCACTATATTTTCCCTAGAGTACGGTCCTAAAGGTTCTTGATCAGTTGTCGACTTTTCTTCTTCCGTAATGCTACTCTCTGGGTTTAAATTACCAACAGTATTCTTCAAAAACAACAGCTGTTTAAAATAAATATAGGGAGTTTTATGAGAAGCAGAAGACCCACTTTTGGTATTTTTCATTCTTCGTATTTCTCGAGCAAAGCAGCTTCTTATATTTTTCCATTTTTTTTGAAGTGATTGACCTGTAAATAAATTGTATTTTTTTATTTCAGATATCTTGGAAGTGGCTGCAAATTTGTAGATCTGCATTACTCATATAGACTTGGGATTTCAACTATTGCTGAGATAATAAGAGAAGTTTGTCATTTTATATGGGTTTTACTGAAAGACATGTGTTTGCCACAACCTACAAGAGAAAATTGGTTAAAAATCGCAAAAGATTTTCATTTACGAGCCAATTTTCCAAATTGTATAGGTGCCATAGATGGTAAACATATAAGAACTATAAAACCTTACAATAGTGGATCAGTGTGTTATAATTATAAACACTTCTTTTCTATCATTTTGCTTGCCATTTGTGACGCTGACTACAAGTTCGTATACATAAATGTTGGTTCCTATGGAAAGGATAGCGATTCTACTATATTTACACATTCAACATTTTATCAAAAGCTAATGAATAATGATTTACAAGTTCCGGAACATCAGCCTATTTCATCCATAAATCCTATACCAGTACCGTTTGTCATTGTTGGTGACGAAGCATTTGGACAATCTGATAAAGTTATGCGACCATTTGGTGGATCAAATTTAACAACAAAGAAAAAAATATTTAATTATAGGCTTTCTCGTGCTCGACGCTACATAGAATGTTCATTCGGCATATTAGCAAATAAGTGGCAGATTTTTCACAGACCTATTAATGTGAATTTAGATCTAGTAACAAGCATCACCAAAACATGTTGTGTTCTTCACAACTATGTTCGAGAAAGAGACGGATATAAATTTGAAGATACCCTGTGCATTCCGGGCTTAGAAGAAGTGCCAACAGGTATTCAAAGAGCTACGCGACGTGGCATGTCATACAGAGATATGTTTGCTGATTATTTTATGACTGAGGGTCAATTACCTTGGCAGATGAGCAGAATTCATTAAAAAATAAATGACATTTATAACTTACCTATGTTTTTTTTTTCTTCGTCTAGTAATCCTTCACCTCCAAATAACTCCACTATTTCTTCCCACTGTTTTTTCTTCAAATCCCGATTCGAATATTCGTCACTTAGTAAGTCCCAAATAGCTTTTCGGGATTGTATTTCCATTATAAATTTCTCGGTATCGAAAGCCTGAGACATTTTTGTGCGCGACGACCGGTCGTTACGACAGTTGCTCGCAGTGTGAATGCTTCCAATTGAAGCCGTGCTCCTATTGGTCGCCAGCGACCGGCAGTCGCTTGTGTGTCGCCACGTCACGGCGGGTCGCCCAGTCGCTTGGGCGACTGACGACCAAGTGCGTAGACATCTATTTAAACTGTAGTAACTCACAGTCGCCAGCGACCGAGTCGCCGGCGACAAGTCGACAGTGCGTAATAGCTCTTAGGGTCGACGTCCGGGCGAAGGAACTTTAAAATTGGATTTTGTGAAGAATTATGTTTCATTATTTAGGACACATCAATCACGCTCACGCGCGACGGCAACGGATGGATCTAGGTCTAGTTGATGATGACAACGGCTGGCTCATCGAAGAGATAACGACATGCCTTGCTGTAATAAAATATGTAGAGGTAGTTTCTGTTTTATAGACACTTAAGTGATGAATATACCCAAGCAAATTTTCCGAATAAATTTATTAATATAAAACAAGAGAAAATATAACAGATTTCTTGTCATAATAAAAAACCAACGTTCCATAGTGCAGAAAACAAGAATCGCTCATATAATCGATAACCATACGTAAAGTAGCGATCCCCTAACAAACCAATTTTGCCCAGCACTATTACAACACAGATAAAACAAAAATAGTGTAGTGACGTAATCCCGTTCCCTGTCCCACTGACGTAGCGGGACCGCAGCGGCGGGACAGGCGGGAGCACCGTTACGCGCGCGTCCTTGGCTGAGTTCTTTCTTGCTCGAACAGGTCGTTTGAACCCGTTCCGCGCCGGTGCCGTGGTGCCACTCACGCGCACGTGTGCACTACGACCACTACCATTATGTCTACCTACTATCTATGTGTGTACCTAACTATACGATAACTACGGCAGATATATGATGGTCGGTAACAGTATTACCACGTGATATATTTAATTAAAAAAATAGGTTATTAGTACACAACTATACTATACATTTTGAAGTCGACAATTTAATAATGATGTTTTGACTTTGTTAACAGTTTAATTGCAATGTTTTCGGAGTAGACTTTAAAATAAAATAACTTTATGTTCAATTGTCAGAGCTCTTTTAAAAGTAGTTAATGTACAGAATTACTTAATACACACCGCGAATACATTTGTGTGCATTGAATTAGTGGCTGACCTAACGGATATTACGGAATTTTGTCGGATAAATACCTCAAAATATCAACAAGAAATACCAAGATGATGTGGAGCATTCTTTGCGGTATTGATACACGTGTAGCAATCGAGAGTGATCTGAGAAAAGGATAATGTTATGATTGTGCATTAATTGACTTTTAAATATCATAGTTGATTAAATAAATTAATCATTCGTGCTGACTATTGTATAATTGTGTAGGTGGTTAACTAATGATATAATTTGAATAATTCGTTATTGTTACAGTAAATCTGAATACTCCTTTAATCAGTAAAAAGGTCCCAGGTTCGATAACCATGAAGTAAACTTCGCTAAATTGATTCGATGTCTATTTAAAACTGTGTGAAGTTTAAAAGCCTCTGGGTGAGAGTTCACCATCATCACCAACCCATGTGTATTCAACCCGCTGCTGGGCATGGACCTCCTGTCTGGCTCGCCAGACCCGACTCGACGTGCAGGTTTCACGATGTATTCCGATGGTAAATTTTAAATTGGTGAAATTTACTTATTGCATATACATATCCTGTACTTTGCTTGATTTATTTGCAAAGACATGAAAGCATGTTATAGTAGCCAATAAGGAAGCAATTTTCGATAGCAGGTCAACGCAGGCTTCATTCAGATATAATCTTGACGCCGGACAACAAAGGAATGTCCTAGCGGTCATTGCGTTGGCAGGTACTTAAGGTTTATTTGGAACTCAAGGAACTAATTTATGCGTGAGTCAGTCGACCCCCGCAGTCAGCACACATCGAAAATAAATAGATTACGATCATTATGTTTTATCGCTTCGTAATGACATTTATCTATAAATTGCATTGTGACCTTACGCAATGTAAGTTAGTTAACAATATCGTCGGCTCACGTGTTTAATGGTAACAATTTCGAAATAAAAGCCGACAAAGGTCAGCGATCATGGTACATACAAAAAATGTACCTTTTAATTAGTTTTGCTCTTATTGCGGGTTTTAAGTGTTGGATGGAAGCTTTTAAGGCGATGAGGCTAATACGCGCATTATCGAGCGTTGGGCAAGCGAGCAAGGACGCGCGCCGATCGGCTAACTGCGCGGATTGCCGCAATCACCGCGTGCGCATGGAAGCTTAACGTGCTACTGGACTTAATATATCAAGACAAAGGCACCGCCACCGTCGCCAAAACGGTGCCTGAGTTAGCACATGTCTACACATTAAATATTGTTCGGTCGATCAAAGTAACACATCATCCAATCTAGGACCATTACGATCATGAATCAGATTTACCTGCAGATAGCTAGCGTTTTATCGTTGTTGGATACTGAGTAACCTAAATAGCCAAAACTTGAGATTGAATAAATGTACATGTAGAAGTGCACGCGTACATTTAGGTTATGGACATATATAAATAGGTACACCTACAGTGGCGGAGTTAGTGTAGAGACACGGGTGCTACGCGGCGTAGTAGTGTGCGGAGGACTGTGCCTGGGTGTGTGCGCGCACACTGATGTCAGCGGGAGGTTCAACGCACCAGTCGCTACTACGCGAGTTCCTTGTTCCACTTTACCACTGACACTATATTATTATAGTTCCAAGAGTTTCCGACTTGAGCAATGAATTTTTATAAAAATAGCCCTCACTTTTCATTCACATGGAATATCTTATAAGTTTCCTATCAGAATGAGAGCATTAAATATCTGACATACTAATATATGTGTAGAAGTGTATTTTGACCTGTTCTCACAAAGACCTAAATTCATATTATCCTTGTTAGGCTCTACTCAAATAACTAAAACAATGCGAAAATTCTCCAAAGGTTCCGTATATTATTGTTTTATAAACAAGAAACGGGATTATAAAACGTCAAAGACATATTAAAAGAGTAGGTTGTTTGAAGTTCCAAGCCGACTGCTAATACAAAAGATTTTAAGTAGTTAAATAGTAAGCTTTGTTTGTTTTATACTTAATCAGCGAAACAAAAAAGTGCTATGTATTTTATAAAATTGTGTTTTTAACATTTTAATGATCATGAAGTATGTCATGAAGTCTTGTTTTGCAAGTCTGGATTTAAGAATGTCTCATTGACTAAGTTTAACGTGATTTTGTTCTCGACGTGCAACCAATTTAACGGCTTCGTCTGTTTACAATCTAAAACAATTTTTATTTTAAATATTTTAGTAAAGATAATGTTACTAAACTCTATTTAACTATCTGACTGTGTACATCATACAAAAAGGATTATGTATTAAATTTAGTGCACAGCATATCACCTTTACAGCATTTTTTGTTATCTTGTTGTATTTTTCTGCACTAAAAAAAATCTAAGAGACGAAAACTTACCAATTATTTTTGTAAGAATACCAGAGCGAAATAGAACTATACATATTTTTTAATTTATATGTTAACAGAACCGGTTTCCAAGACCATTTAGTTGTAAACAACTCTGAATTGGGCTAAAACCATAAAAACAAAAGTAACAAACACAGTTTATGTTATAATAAATGCCTCGCGCCCCGAAGCAGGATTTGTAAATTATGAACTTTACAAAATATCAAGGCTTAAGTGCCTCGCCAGTTACGGGATCTGAAGTCTGAACTAACCTGTAGAACTAAGTCTGATTTGACAATCTATGTGGACAAACAATTGAAATACCTTATT